CCTAAGGCTATTAAAAAAAAAAGAAAAGGAAAAAGAAAATAAGGAGCCTGGAATAACTGGGGACGGTGGGGAGAGGTGGCAGAGGAGCCTCCCTCTCCAGATCCATCGCCCGGCACCACGCCTGGGTGAAGGGATGGGAAGCACTGCGATGGACAAGAAGAAAGATGCCTCCAGCAGCAGGAAAAGCTCCAGCCAGAAGAAACTCATGTTGCGAGTGCACATCCCCGTAAGTGGCTCCTTGCTCTTCCTCCCCTTCGGCAGCTGGCGTGGCTTGGGCGCTGGGGCATGTTTTGCTCTGACACGTAGCGCAGCGAAAGGCGGAGAGGTGTTTCCTCTGGAGTTTGGGGGATGCCGGGCTGGGGCATACAGTCCGTGCTACAGGCAAGTCCTCCACATCTGGGGTGCGTTGGAGCAGGGGTGCTGCCCGTGGTCTCTGCCCCCCCGCGCGGTGCTGGGAGCTCAGGGTGCAGCGTCCGTGGCACGGAGCGAGGATAACTCCGGCTGTGTTGCTGCTGCCCTGCCCGGGCTGTGGGTTTGGGTCAGTATGGCTCACCCAGTTCACAGGCAGGCTCACAGCATGGTTTAGCGAGAGGGCTAATGCTGGGCTCAACATCCCCACGTTTGGCTCTGGGAACTGTCCGTGCCTGGCGGCTGAATCAGGGTTTAATCTGACTCTTCCCTCTTTCGAGACTAATCCACCTCTGAATTTCCCAGGGCTGGGGAACCCAGAGCTCGCTCAGGTTTGGACACGAGCAGTCTGTTTATTGCCGAAAGCGCGGGGACAGTTGTATTGCCATGGTGGAGCAGACTACTGAGCCGTGCAGTCTGCTCACTGACTCTGTTTCGTTTTGTATAGTCACACTAGAAAGAAGCATGCAAGAATAACCAGAGTGTATAGACACAGAATAATCTCATACCAAAAGTTTCTCTCTGCTCCCGGTGACTACTAAAAGGCTGGCTGGCTCTGTCTGCAGAGTTTACATGCCTTTCAAAGTTTTGATTATTGTTTTTCTTTACTGTTAGGATGTTCTTGTTATGTATGTAACTGCTTTTTATTCTCAGTCTCGATGTGCTTTTGGTTTCAGTGCTTCTGGCAAGAAATGACAGAGTCCCTGCATCTTTTTCTGTGCGATCTGTTTTGTTGTTTTTTGGTGGTTTTTTTTTTTAAATCTTATTATATAAAAATGGGAAACAGTCCTATAAGTGTCTCTGCCAGGCCACCAGGGAGCAAAAAGATGTTTCTGGTTCTATGTTTTTCCTTTGTTTTAGGGAAGAATAAGAAGTCAAAGCAAATTTATTAGGTGTCTTGAGCGTGCGGATTAAAATGGAGGAGAAATACATGGCTCTTCTGCAGATTTCATTTTTCTCCAGAGAGGAATGCAAGCCCAGGAGCCTAAGCCAAACTTCTGGAGCTTGGAGTGCATTCAGTACTGGGAGAAAAGGGTCTGTTTCTGCTGACATGGGTGTCGCCTATGCATTTGTGGCTGGAGTTTTTAGGCAATAATCTCTGCCATGTTACCAGTAGTACTTCACAACAGGGATGTAAAATACCAAGAAAATGAAATGTACTACACCAAAGTGCCACTCACCCTGTGCACCTTAGTCCTTTCCACCCTGCCTGCTACATTGCCTCTGCCATCTCTTTCTGTAGCCGCCCCCCCGCCCCCCGCCTCAGTCTAGCCAGGAGCTTCTGCGCAGCTGGATCTCGAGCTCTGCTCTGAGAAGCTGCATTTTCTGCCTGCTGAAGAGCTGTAGGTAGTTCAGGAGACGCTGTGGTTGCTGCAGGATTTTGCAGGAACCATCTGGTGCTTTTGAAATACCTTCTGACCACCAGAAAAGTCTGACCACGCCAGTACTTACAGCAATTTTCCCCATTTTATAATTGTGAAGCTAAGGTGGAAAAACTGCCTAAGTAACTTGTTCGCACTTCAGCATTATTGACTGAAGAAGGCTCATGCTTTTTCCTAATTGCCTCCCTAAGCCCGCAGACAACCTTTCTTCATGAGTGTTGCCTTAGTTCTGTCTTGGATGGAACATCATTAGTAATGGGCCATAATTTTTAGTGTTCATTAATCTCTTGGCTTCTTTGCTATGCAGTTTGTCACCTAGGTAGTGGTAGGTATTCACATACAAGCTGCAAGTGCCTGATACTGCACTGAAGTTGACACGAGTTTTGTTGTTCACCCGGTCGGAAGCAATTCAAGATTTGGCAATGAGATAACATCTTCCACCGCTCCTCTCCATCCCAAAATACGATCCTTCTGTTCCATTCTGCGTCATTCTAGCATTCCTGAAATGGTCTGTTGGGCCCAGGGTCTTTCAGGTTGTACTCACATTTTTGGTGGTTTTCTGTTATCTGGCAGAGTTTAAATGTGACTGTGCTGTAAGAAAGAATATTTTTCTCATTCTCCTCATTTGACAGTGGAATCTGCATTTGAAAAGATCCATTTAGACTGTTTTTTTTTTCTCTTTCATAACGTTTTCTTGGCTGTTGTTTTGAAGCATCGTTCCTATTATTTCAGTGGCGCCTGTCAGTGTAGCTGTAGTTGTTGAGGGAGCTTTCACCAGACAGTAATTTTTATTTTGTTCATCCTCTTCTTTGTTTTGCTGTGAGATCATATTTATTGCTGAGACATGTAATTCTTGCTCATTGAGATTTTCAAATTAGGAACAAGAGAAGGACTAACAAGGTCTGAGTAGGAGGGGAGAGAGGAGTTAATTCTGGAAGAGAAAGCAGTGGGACTGAAAGGTACTGTTGTGATGCAGGCTATCCCAGAAAGTATTTGTTAGTCACATAGAAATGCTGACTGAGAAAGTAATGGCAAATATTGTGGAAAAAAAAGGGCTAATAATGCAAAATATGCTACCATTAGGTTAGAGGATTGTGGAATAATAGGTATGTCTGAAAAGAAAGTTGTGTGCTTTTCTTCCCTCTCCCACATATTTTTATTTTTTGGGTTTGCCGGTGACAGTGGGAAAAAATGGATCAGTTTGAGAAAGCTTGTTTTGTGTCTTGCAACACTCCAGGGCATTTCTCAGGTACATGTTTCTCAAGCAAGAACAAGCCATGATACAGAAAGTCTGGAAACACTCTGTTTTCACTTCCTTTCTGTGCTCAATCTCCTTCGGCGCGAGTGGGTGGTGCCCAACCCTTGCTTCTGGGAATAGCGGTAGACCACGAAGTTGCTGCCGGTTGGGTTTACTTGCTGCTCTCCGCTTGTCGCTCAGTAGCCAAGAGTAAAGTGGGGGGCACTGTATTCTGTTAGCATGGCAGGGAAGTATTTGCTAAATTGCTGGACTGATTGAACAACTTTTTGTTTTGTTTGTTTGTTGTTTTCTTTGCAAATACACAACTGACTAACAAACCAGTAATTTAGATGGACCATAATATGATTGCAGGAGCCTTTGCAAAGTAGAGGTCGCATCAGCCTCCATTTTTCCCGGCAGCACATTCTGAAGTCTTGAACTTACAGATGCCTAAATGGAAATTTCTAGTCCAAATATCTTTGAAAGCTGCTACAGATTTGAATAGAAACCTTTGCTCTCTAGATGCATCACATGATGTAATATGAGGACATTAGTGTCATAAAATTCCCTTTTAAGCCATTAGAAGTTAATGCTTGCACATTGCTTTGAACATTTTAAAAACTGTGTTCTAAGATGGGATGCAATTTTCTGCTGAGTAGGAGCTCACAGCAGTGAGAAGAGTATGTTCTTCTGTCATCTTGCAAAATCGATCTGTTCTAATGGTAATGTTGCCATCATAGTCCTGTGTTGCTGCAAGAAAAAAAGAGAGATTCTGCTCTTGCTTACTTTGAATTTCATCTGGGATATTTCAGTCAGTGCCAGCAAAGTTATGTTGTATTTACACGAGCACAACTGAGCGCAGAACCTGTCTCCAGAGCTTCACCATGGCAAGCACCTGCTGCTCCCAGCAGGTGGAAATTGCAGAACCTTGGTACTTCCTTGGATTTTTCCCAAATTTTTTTCACAATAAGGATGAAAATAACATCTGCAAATGAATATAAAAGCATCTTTCAGTTCAGTGAAGTGGCTGTTGCCCCTGATACTTCAGCCCTGACGACAGAGTTGATGCACCAGAAGGATGCTCTTAGAGATAACAATCCTTTTGTTTTCAATGTCACACCAACAAATCTCTGCACGCTTTCTCCCATTTCTTTGTTAACCTCTATGATTTTGAACAGACTCCTCAATGCACAATTTTATTGCTGTTTCCAGGCCTGTTGTTATGCTGGGATGCCAGGCTGAAACATCAGATGATTTAAATACTTCTAACCCGATAGATAACAATGATGATCTGACAGCTAATGTTGGCTCAGGCTCTGCCCCTCCATCTTGCTTTCCACACTTGCAAAGTCATTAATGGCTGCATGCCCAGTAAATCACTGTGAAATGATTTTGTTCTGTCACACAAGGGTGCTTCTTGTCTCCCGGTAATTGCTGGGTGGGGTGATGAGAACAGCACTTCAGTCTAGGGATCACTTGCGGAATCAGAGAATCATAGGTTGGAAAAGACCTCTAAGATCATCAAGTCTAACCAGCAACCCAACAGCACCATGCCTACTAAACCATATCCCAAAGTGCCACATCTACACGTTTTTTAAACACCTCCAGGGATGGTGACACAAACACCTCCCTGGGCAGCCTGTTCCAATGCCTGACCACTCTTTCAGTGAAGAAATTGTACCTAATGTCTAATCTAAACCTCCCCTGATGAAACTTAAAGCCATTGCCTTTTGTCCTATCGCTAGTTACACGGGAGAAGAGACCAACACCTGCCTCACTACAACGTCCATTCAAGTAGTTGTAGAGAGCAATCAGGTTCCCCCTCAGCCTCCTCTTCTCCAGACTAAACAGCCCCAGTTCCTTCAGTGGCTCCTTGTAAGACTTGTTCTCGAGACCCCTCAACAGCCTCATTGCCGTTCTCTGGACACTCTCCAGCAACTCAGTGTCTTTCTTGTAGTGAGGGGCCCAAAAGTGAACACAGTACTCCAGGTGCAGCCTCATCAGTGCCGGGCAGCTCTCCAGCCACTCCTCCCCAAGCCTGTGGCATTGCATGGGGTTGTTCTGACCCAAGTGCAGGACCCGGCATTTGGCCTTGTTGAAACTCATACAGTTCCTCGGCCCATCGATCCAGTCTGTCCAGATCCCTCTGCAGAGCCTTGTACCCTCGAGCAGATCGACACTCCCGCCCAGCTGGGTGTC